TTATTCATCGTTGAATTTATCGCTAACAAGTCACAGACACCTACTGTAGAAGAATCCTAAACCCAACAACTACATATTTATGATATTAAGAAACATAAGTAAAAGCCATTTATTTCGACAACTGGCAAAAAAAATTCATAACCATTATACATATATAACATTATTTTTTAAAATCTGACTATTTGCGAGCCACAGCCAGGTTTATACAGTGGTAAACGGCGATGGAAGAAAATGTGACAGCGGAAATAAGTAGGCCTACCTATATACGCACAACTATAGTTGTAACGAAAATAGTATAATGATTAAAATTACTCTATATAACCATGTCAACAGACTTTGATAAATGGGTAGAAAAAGAATCTCAACTTTGGTTAAAAGACAGTGAATTACGAGAGTTTGTTAAACAAGAACTGGAAAGGGAAGAACGGCAACAGAAGAGACAAATTTAGAAAAAAGAAACTAGAAATAGAGAGAATAAAAATACAAACTGAGAAAGAGTAAGAAGAAAGACTAAAAGAAGAACAAATTGAGAAACAAGAAAAAGAAAGAGAGGAAAGACTAGAAATAGAGATAATAAGAGCACAAATTGAGATAGCAAAACTCATCCAACCAATGAGCTATCTGTGCTCTGCCCAACACGGGTATCGAAGCCCGGATTCTAGCGTTCTAACTCCGCAGACATACCGCTGTGCCACTTTTGGGGCCCCAACCGAAGGCAGAAGGATCCAAGAACGACAATGGAGTCAGGGCAAGCTGCCCAAATTTGATGAACATAAAGATGGCATGGATGCTTTCCTGGAAAGATATGAAAGATTCGCCCAAAGACAGAACTTGGACAAAGGCGACTGGGCAGTCTGTCTCAGACCACTTTGCACAGGAAAAGGCCTACAAGTATTTGTAGGCATGACGTCAGAAGATGCCATGGATTATGACAAATTAAAAGTACCTTTACTGAAACGATATGAACTTACTGAAGATGGTTTTCGTCGGAAGTTCAGAGGAATCAAACCCGACACTGGCACAGTTTGTGGAACGTCTGCGGCGATATTTCACCAGATGGACTGACATGGCCATGTGTGAAAAACCTTTTGAGAGACCTATTAGTACGTGAACAATTCATGAACACGTGTTCAACAGACATGTCACTGTTTTTAAAGGAGAAAGCACCAAAAGATGTAGCCAAGATGATCAAGCTGGCAGAACAGTATATGGAAGCCCATGGAGGTATATAACT